TGCTGCTCAGATGGGTGTGATACTTATGATTGACTGATTGATTGATTTGATTTGTGGGCTTGAGTTAAAAAAAAATAATTTGGAAAATGTTCTTTAAAAAATGTTTGGGTGTATAGAAAGGTAGTGGTTGCACATCCAACAGTCCATAATGTTATTTATGTCCTATAACCCTCACACACTTTACCTTCTTTCCACAAGAGGGAGGAGTAGTACTTAATAAGACATTTTGGAGCTGCATCGTTTTGTGGCAGTCGAAAGAGAAGGAAACACATCATTTAGAGAGAGAATAAGCCTGAATGTGCTTCTTTTATTTGATCTGTAATATAGTATACACTACATGCAGACTAGTGTTACTTCTCTTTCATCTTAACTGGATAGATACCTCGCACTTTATTTTTTTTTCCTTGTGGTTTCCATTGCAGCTTGATAGTAAGTCTTGCATGTCTGATAAGAGGTGTTATCTCAGGATAAAGTAGTTATCTAACCTTCAGTCTAGTAAATTTAGTTTAAAAAGCAGCTTCAGGTAGCAGTCCTCTGCATGAAATAGCATGTGCAGTGTAGTTTTATATTGTAATGTGAATGCCTATTGCAATTCATATAAAATGTACAGCACTGAACAGCGGAGTAAGTGACTCTTCACACTTAGGCTCCTTTTATGTAACATTTACTGTAGCAAGCAACTCATTTGTTTCTGGGGGAGAGCACTTGCTGTTAACTAATTTTTCTGGGAAGTAATTTATTTTACACTTTTCAACAGCCTGCACATCTGACTTTATAATATCTGGTTTGCAAATCCAGCCTGCTGTTGACTTAAACTGTTAATGTTGATGGTACGATCTTTTAAAGTAATATTCTTGTAAAATGATTTATGACTTTTTGGCAAGAGGAGTATTTTACTAATATAAGGTATTAGTTTATTTCATAAATGTTTACACACAATGCAGTTTTACAGTGCAGTTTTAATAGTGGGGTATATACTTTAATAAAATATTTAATCCACACTAAGAATTTTGTATTATATTAAAATGCATCTTATCAAAAAAATAAACAAGAAATGTTGTGTTTATAGTCACTACTGATGTTCGGTGATTACAGTGACTGTGTATATTGAGAACACTTAAGCATCAGGAAGAAAGTTAATGGACTTGAAAATGGTGATGATGTATAAGTGCCACATTATGCATTTGCATCCAGAGGAAAATTACTTGTCAACAGGGTAAACATCCAAATATGGCAAAGCCCCAGATTCCAAGGTGACCGTGTTGGAAGTCATGGTCTACAGATGTATTTTGGTACTGAAGTATAGGAGTTCAGTGCTCAAACCCCCTTGTTCTGTTTCCGTAGGTACCACAAGTCCTCTTGTACATCTAGCCCATCAACCCTTCTGAAAATATTGTGTTTGGTCTCTGGCAGATTTTGAGCTATTTTATTTACAAATAAATATATTTTGATGCTTGATACTTCTGAAGGGGCATTTATCTGCTTTCTAAGACAGTCTGACTAAATGAAGACCTTTTTTCATACAATTTGTCCTCTATAAAAATAGACTTAGCAAGCTGTAATAAATTACTGAGTCCTGCTTTCTAGGTGTCACAAATTCTGCAGCAGCTATCCACAAATTTAGGATAAGTTTACTTGCTGTCAGTGCTTATGTGTCGATAGCCTCTGATGTTGCTGACACTCAGCTAATGTAGGGCTGAAATGAAGTGAAAACTGTAGTACTGTCATTTCTATCTTTTTTTTTTTTAAAGCAAAAGGGAAAAAAAACCATGAATCCAGAAATTCCTCCTAATAAGGTTTTTTCTTGAATCATTTTAAATAAAATCTCATTTAAAAGTTGCATATGTTCTATAAGCATATAGTGATTTATGAAATGGGGTCATAACTTCCAGTATTAACCAATGGAATCTAGTTACTGAAAGTACAGTGGAGTTCTTCTGAAAACCAGGTCCATAGAATTGATCTTGAAATATGGTGGTTTAGCAGGGCATTAAGTGTAATTTTAATTTGTACTAAATACATGAAAATACTCTGAATAGTTTTCTAGTTCTTCATAATCAATACCATGAAGTGGCATATTTAGGGAGGGACAACAGGCAAGTGCCCTCGGTGCTGACCCGGATGTGGGGCCAAAAAACCTGACTTGATGTAGCTGTGTGATTGCAGTGGGAATTAAAAGTTGCCAGTGCTCCTATGAATGGAAGCTGTCTCGAGTATCCTGTGCCATTCCTATGCTGCTGACATCTTTCATGTACCTTTGTGTGACTTTTTTCTTTTTTTTTGGCCATTCTGTAAGTCAGATTCTTTCATATTGACTTGAGCAGTTAATAACAACTAGAAATAACACATTTTTATAGGACAGAACAGTCTAATTATGCTATTTTGCTGCTGCTTTTTTTCTTTCCCCTCTTCTGTCCTCTACCAACAAGAGGACTTGTGACATGGATTTATATTCAACGTGTGGCAGCCTAGTTGTATATAAAACACTTAGCTGAATTATTTTAATTTGGTTGGGCTAAGTGTTCAGTTTGGTCATTCACTCTGGCACAGTAAGCTATGTAAAGATTAATGAACCAAGTTTGAAATGCCAGATATTTAATTTTGGGAAAATCCTGTAAATGCACTGACATGAACTTTAATATAAGTTAAGCATGAATGATAATGTAAGCCACAAACTAAGTGTTTGCCTTTTTTTCCCCGATATCACTTTTGTTTCCGTTGTATACATTAGTAAGTAATGTGCAGAAGCTGTTTTTCTTTCACAAGATATTGATTTTACAGCAGGATTTTTGCTTATTTCAAGTGGTAAAACTTAGACTGTACTGTATTTAGTCTTTTGCTTAATTGGGTAGTTTGCAATGATTGCTTTAGTTATGCGTGTTAAGACTAGACTGCACAGAATTTAAGAGTCCAGTACCACGTACACAGGGGCCGGGTCGAGATGAACATGGCCATGCAGTATGTAGCCACATAGCACACGCTCAGCTCTTCTCCATGCTGCAAGGGAGCAGCAGGGCGGGTAGTGACCCCAATGTCCAGGGGTCAAAACAAAAATCCTGCCTGCGCAAAAAAAAGCAGAGAGGTACACATGGGGGCAGCATGCACCATTCAAAACCAGAGCCTGGCCAGCCAAAGCCACACTCCAGCTGCCAGCCAGGCTCTGAGCAGCAGAATCATCATTGCTGGAGCCCTGGGAGACCCCCAGGTAGAGCTGGCACCAGCTTCCCCTACCCTACCTGGGGTAACCTGCCATATGCCAGAGGGCTTGTGGCACAGGCATTTCCTGGGGACAACTAGTGGCGGTGCATTTTGTTGTCCCCAGGGAACCAAACGTCCATGCTCATGTGGACATGGCCAAGGTGTCTGATTTATAATTAGTCTGTGCTATTGTCATTTGAATAATGGTATTTTAATAAAAATGGAAAGAGAATATGCCCAAGCCTGGGTATCTTCCTGAAGCCCTGCAGGACCTTTTTATTTGTCCAGGCATTTTAGCAAACAAGGGTAAGTTGGGGTATTGTTCAGGGAGCTTGTTGGGTACCTTCTAGGTCTTATTTAATATTTGATCTGTTTATGTAAGTTTTGTCTTTGGTTGTAAGCTGCCTTGATCCTTTTTTTTTATTTTTTTATTTTTTTGGAAAGGGTAGCAAAATTAAATAAATACATAAATGCATTGGGTAAAAAGGCTTTTATTTCCTTTTTTTCCCCTGGGTGCTGTCTTCTGTAAATCTTAGGAAATGCAGTTAGGGATGATGGGTTGCAAAGGCAGTAGAAATTTTAACTTTTTTTTAATGTATTGCAGTGAAAATGTGCAGCAAGCATACTGGGACCTGAAGAGGGAAATGTCTAACTTGCATCTGGTGACTGAAATGCAGGCTCAGGTTCTTCGAAAATTGAAAACAAACCCAACTGCAACCAAGAAAGGCAAGTTAGTGTTTGCAGCAATGGGCCTTACATGTGCAAACTGTTTCAAACTACACTATTCTGAAGATAAATGATCTACA